CCCTACTTGAGTGAAATCAACCAGACACGGAAGGACAGCTATTATGTGACTCCACTGACATGAGGCACCTAGAATAAGCCAACTCACAGGGACAGAGAGAAGAGCGGTGGCTGCCAGGGACTGAGGTAGAAGGAAGATGAGTTAGCGCTGAGTTCAGTTTCCCAAGACGAAAAAGTTCCGGCCATGGACGGTGGTGATGGTTGCATAACCATGTGAATGTACTTAATGACACTGAATTATAAATTTAACAACAGTTAAAATGACACATCTGGTTATGTATGTTATACCCCAGTAAAGAAACACAAACCTATCATGTTACATAAGTAACATTTTAACTTAATTTACTCCATTGTTTTCAAAGCAAAACAAAACAAAATAAACAAAAAACAAAAATCCCCAAAACAAAATCCTATGTCATAGTATCCTAGTCAAGGTGAGGGACCCTAGTGGGACTATAATTTAATTAAACGCACCACCACTACCTCCTGAACCTTGATCTAAAAGGCAGCCGTGGGGCGCCTGGGTGGCTCAGTGGGTTAAGCCTCTGCCTTCGGCTCAGGTCATGATCCTGGGGTCCTGGGATCAAGCCCCGCATCGGGCTCTCTGCTCTGCGGGAAGCCTGCCTCCACCTCTCTCTCTGCCTGCCTCTCTGCCTACTTGTGATCTCTGTCAAATAAATAAATAAAATCTTAAAAAATAAATAAATAAATAAATAAATAAATGGCAGCCGTGGAGGTGCCTGGGTGGCTCAATCAGTTAAGCATCTGACTCTTGGTTTTGGCCTGGGTCATGATCTCAGGGTCATGGGATCGAGCCCTCTGTCTGGCTCTGCACGCAACTGGGAGTCTACTTGACATTCTCTCTCTCCCTCTCCCTGTGCCCCTCCCCCCACTCGTGCACCTGTGCTCTCTCTCCAAAATAAATAAATAGATCTAAAAAAACCCCAAAAACCCGGGGCAGCTGCGTCAAAACTCAGGCCTGTTGTTTGACAACCTGAGTACACCTGAAAATGCCTATCCATTCACTGTGAATGAGGAAGCCCCCCAAACCACAATAGTCAGCTGCACCCTGGGCCTCAAGCATTGCCATGTCCTCTCCGGACTGGACCAAGAATATGGCTCACACAAATGCTTTGTCCTAGTGAGGGCCGCAGTCACATAAACAGGCCCACAGGACTCCCAGTCAAGGAGGGGAGGTGGCTACTGAAGTCAGAAGCAACAAATGAGGTAAAAAGGAGGAATGGGGAAGGCACGTTGTCCTGGACCCACACAAAGCAACAGCACTCCCAGCTAGCTCCTTCCTTAGTGAAGGGTTCCAGAATATTTCATTCTGTTCCCCAAACAAGGAAGCCATCCATTCTGGAATCAGAAAACCCTCGTAAAATTTGAACTAGACTCCACTTCCACCCTGTTGATGACTTAACGGTCTCAGACTCCACTTGGTTGGTTCTGTCCACCCTGCGTCTGTTTATGGAAAGGAGACTATAGTCAGTTCAAAGGGGACCACAGGGTCTGATTTAAAGAGATGATCATCAAGCCAGTGCAAGGCCTGAGTGACCTTTTCTTGGCCCAGAATTACTCAGTCTAACTGGTGGCTGGTCCATTCAATCACCCAAGGGAGAAACAAAGCACTGATCATTCTGGTCACTACACACTGGCGGAATTCAAAGACCAAATTAAAGTGCTTAACAGAGATGTGAAAACACAGGGCAGCAACTTGTATGAGAGCCCATAAAGTAACACAGGATCTGGGGTCCGGTCTCATGACTGATACTTGGAAAGGGACCGAGGGACAGCTGGGACACTGAGCGTTCAGATCAAGAATTTCTCAGACCTGTAGGGCACCTGGCTGGCTCAGTCAGTGGAGCACAGGACTCTTGAACTCGGGACTGTAAGTTTGAGGCCCATCATCCTGCCTTCAAAACTTGCAGAGCCTGTGCTACCATGTGGCTAACCTTGGGGAGATGCTGCTAAGTGAAATAAGCCAGATACAGAGAGACAGATCCTGTATGACTCTGTTTATAAGAAGTACTAAGAGTAGTCAAATTAGGAAACAGCACAGTGGCAGTTTTCAGGAACTCAAGGAGAGGAAATGGGAAGCTGCTGTTCAGTGGGGACAGTTTCAGTTGAAGAGGAAAAAAAGAGTTCTGGAGACGAGGGTGGCGATGGGCACACAACGGTGCGAATGTACTTAATGCCACCGAGCTGCACATTAAAAATGGCTCAAATGGGTTAAAATGGTGAATTTTGTTACATATTTTTTATTACAAAAAAAAAAAAAAAAAAGCAGTTCAGAGCCACAGGAGCCTGACATGGGCGCCCCCTGAGCCTTTGCTCACACCAATCTCAGGGCGTTCAGCTTCCCCTGCCTGCTGCCGCTGGACGTGTGCTGACAGGCAAGCCCTCTCTCCAGCACAGCTGCCTCCGGAAGCTTCCCTGATCTCACTCCCTCTGAACACATAAGTGCTGTGTGTGTTCCTGTCTCCCATCAACGTGGAAGGTCCCAGATGGCAAGAACCATACTCCCCTTCTATGTAGCCCGCAATGTAGAAAGGGAAGGGCTTGCACACAGCAGGGCTCACAGCTGATGGATCCTGAGTGTGCGGAGGGGAAGGACCCCCGGGCCAACCCAGTCAGGATTTTCAGGTGCAATGCAGGGCGATTCAGAGTACTCTCAGGTGGCCATACTTGGGAAGGAATGGATCTGCACTCCCACAGGGACTTGGAACCCCTGGAATCCCAGCTCTGCTACTTCCTGGTTTTGTCCTTACCTATGGTTGGGCAGACCCACCACGGGGTGATGGAAGAACCTGTGAGGGGCCCTGCATGAAGGCACGCTGCCACCATGCCTGGCACACAGAGGTCATTCCAGCTTCTTCCCTCCAACGCCAGGGGCCCTCAACTGAAATACACGAGAGCACCTCATCCAAAGGGATTCTGAAGCCATGAGAGCTGGGCCTCCATGTCTGCTGCTGTGAAAAATTAGGGTGCTTCCACTCCCTCCCACACTGTGGTTTTCCTTACTGTTCCTCTGCAGGGCACAGCCCTGGCCAGCAGGTCCCACAGCCGTCTAAAGAACATCAGGAAACAGTCCAGAAAGAGACAGAAGGCTTTGCCAGCACAGACTCCCTTCCTTCACCTCCAGCCACAACGCTCAGAAGAGTGCTGAGTACAGAGCTGAAAACCAGTTTTTAAAACCTAACAGGAGAGAGAACATGGGGCCTTGAGGACATTCAGAGAAAGATCCAGAAAATCCTAAGAGTGGGGTCCAAGTTGTAAAATTCACCCCTGGGCCATTTCCTGAGAGCTTGCCCTGAGTTACACACAGATCCAGGGTCCCACGCCTGCAGCAGCTTTATGAGAGGCTGGATGGAGCTGCTGATGAGAAGGGAAGAGGGACTGAAGGGCAACCTACCAGAACACATTTGGTCTGACCAGCCCCCACTTTCTGGAAACTCAGAATTCACAATCAGCAAGAGAATACCATTTCAGATTCTAGGTCTCCAGGAAAACCTCTCATTTTCTCTATTTTAATAATGCTCTCCCACGTCCCAGCATTGAGGGCCAGTTCAAGCTGGCTCACTCAGTCGACAGCTGGCCAGGCAAGGATGGTGCCCAGTGACCACAGGGCAATCCTCCAGACCCCAGGGGAGCTAATGTGCCTGTAAAGCAGGCTTCTAAATACTACAGCCTTCCACCCCCCAGTGAGGGACCTAAGGGATGCAGCTGGGTCAGGCCACAGGTCTGAGCAGCAAGCCATAGCCACCCCCAGCTGGAAACATAAATCAGTAACTGGATGTCTCTAAAACACACACAAAAGACCACCAATCACAAAAAGGCCACTTGACAGAGCCAAAAATAGCCTTACTTGTTTCAAGAGGATTCTGATGATGGAAGCACGTACAACTCCATCAGCAGAAAAAGAAAAATCAATGGAGCAGAAAACTGGATCAGCCCAAAAGGGACCAGGACTCCAAGAGTCCTCCCACAGCCTCACATCCAACCCCTGACCAGCCCACCGAAGCCCCACACCCACCCACCCTCTCCTTACTCCAATCTTACAAACCATGCCTGGACCCCAAAACCCATCACCCCAGAAGTTCTATACACAACCCCACAGGTTTAATCTTAGGGCCAAGGGTCACACCATGGATTAGGAGGCCAAAATGAGCACCACTGTACACACATCCCTGGGAAGACAAGGAGGCAAGAGTGCATGGAAGGATGAGAAAATGGAGCTGGGGTAAGAGGCACACAGGAGACTACAGGTGAGTAATGATGGGTATGCCTCCCATCAAAGCCAGGCAAATCAGAAGAGGTGTGGCTCTGCTTCAGCCCTGGATAAAATCTTCACCCCCGTGAATTTTCAGGGGCCCACTGAGTCAGAACTGCCTGTCACCTCGCTTCCTCCTAATTCTTATTTTTACCTGCTCTGACTTGCATTTGGGAGGCTGGTTAGCAAGCAAACCTGACACTTCTATGCCTTGGGAGCAGCTACTAACATCTTAGCTTCCCCATTAGTGTCTTCCAGGACAGGAACAGTTGGGGCGGCGGGGAATTCCCGAGACACAGATCAATCCCCACTGAAAGTACCTGATCTAGAAGACAGAGATGGCCCCCTCTTAATACGACCCCCACTGCCTAGATGGAGTGATCAAAGGGTGAGGAGATTACTGCCCAGGGCACCCTGGTCTCAACCCACAGAATCATACAAGAAGCACACCGCTCTAGAACCAAAGGAACAGCCACCTACCATGCCCACACACTGCCCCTCCCAACCCAATCCCAGTCCAAACACTGGGAATCTGCATTCAGGAGGAAGTGGGGGATGGCCGTTTGTTCAGGTGTAGGATCAGCAGGAATCTTTCCCGTTCACAACAGCACATGGACAGTCCAAAGAAGTATCTACCTGTTCCTCCCCGGGTCATCAGACCCCTTTTCTTTTCAATGGTTTCCAGCCAGGGTGCAGGTGTGCCCACCCAAGCTGGTGGAGGTACCCACCTGTGTCTCCATGGAAGGTGCCATCCTGAGGCAGCCTGCCGGACAAGCTGTCCCCATCACTGGGCCAGATCTGCCCCGTCTTGCGAACACCCACGATGGTGGCCTCCGACACGATGACCTGGCCCTGCCGGTGCCGCTTCTGGCACTGCGGGGTCGGGGGACTGCTGCTGTCAAAGGACTGCTGCGAGTTCTGCGAGGGTGAACGGCTCTTGTCTCGAAACATCCGGTAGGTGGTGGGGCTGGGGGACACACGGCTGGACTGGCCGGAGGAGAAGTCCTCCTCACTGGAGGTGAGGTTCTCATTGGAGCTGCAGTCCGGGGTGTAGCCACCTCCACTGTCCTCAAAGCTCCGAGGGGAGTAGGACCTGCGGGGCCAGGTAAGGCGTTTCTCCTGCTCCGAAGTGCTCTGGCTGCGCAGGAGGGGGCCCTTGCCTTCCCCTTCCATCATCATGCCCCCGACGTAGATGCTCTGGTAGGGCTGGTACTCCAGGGGCGGCCAAGGGGGCCTGCTGCCGCCATTGGCGTTGATCAGGTTGTCCTTCAGGAAGTGGGGGTTCAGCTCCGCGTCCTCGTAGTCGCCGTCGAAGCCGCAGTTGCTCTCTGAGGATCGGCCCCGGTAAGAGGGCCTGGGTGCGTCCCCCAGGCCCGGCCCGGGGCCGTGCTGGGACTTCTTACGTTCCATCTGCATCGCCTGGCTGCCTAGGGAGCTGATCCGGTCCGACACCTCTTTGTCGTTGACCTTCACTAGGCCGCGCTCGTGGTGAAACTCGACGTTCACGTAGAAGGGCTTCTCGGCGTCCGCCGCCCCGGGCTGGCCGTGGCCCTTGCGGATTCTCTCAAAGTTGGACCTGAGCGCCGCCACGCTGGTTGGGGGGCCCCGGTCTTCCCGGTCTGCGGCCACGGCGGCCCCTAGCCTGCGAGCGGCCGCGGACCTGGCCTTGCTCGGTGAGCCCTCTCCGTCCGGCCGGGCCTCGGGCTCCTCGGCGGGCGGCGGGTCGGCGCCGTCGGCGGGCGCGGGTAGCGGGCGCTGCGCGGACGCGCGGGGCTCGGCGGCGCCGTCGGGGGGCTGAGCGGCGCGTCGGAAGCCCCAGCGTTGGCGGTCGTAGCTCTTCTTCTCCTTGGCCAGCAGCGTCTGCAGGTAGATCATGCGGAAGCGCTCCTGGTTCACCTCCTGCTCCAGGCGCCGAATGGAGGCCTTGCAGCGCTCCAGCTCCTGCTCAATGTCGCCCACCGAGCGCAGCTCCATGCGCGGCGGCTCGGAGTCCGGGAACTGCGCCCTCCACGCCTCGGCGAAGCCCACCGGGTCCACCATGGCGCGGCCGTCTTCACCTGCGCCGCCCGGCTGCGCACGGGGCCCGCCTCAGCGGCTGAGAGACCACCTCTCCAAGCCCGGCCCAGGGCGCCGGGCGGCCCCCATGGCCCCGCGCGGCAGTGGCGGTGGTGGCGGCAGCGGCGGCGGCCGGCGAACAATGCCCGCCCCCTCCCGGGCGGCAGGTGAGGCGGCGGGCTTGGCTCCCCCCGGCGGCGCGGGGCGCCGAGGAGGGCACGCGCGAGGGGGGCGGGCGCGCGCGAGGACGGGGGAAGGGCGCGGGGCTGCGCGCGTCGCTATTGTGTGCGGGGCTCCTCCGCGCGCCGCGGCGCGGGCGCTGCCCTCCCCTCGGCCCGGCGCCGCTAGCCCATGGCCGCCGCCCGCGCGCTCCTCTGGTCTCTGTCCCGCGCCGCGTCCCGGCCGCCGCCGCCTCCCGGGCGCCGCGCTCTGCCCGGCCCGCTCTCGCCGCACTCCCGCCCGGCCCGCACTCGGCGCCGCAGGAAGGGGAGGGCCGGGGGGCGGTGGCCGCGGCGCGGCTGACGGAGCCGGGCGGGCCTCTTAAAGGGGCCGTGCAGAGGGCTCCGGGTGGGAGCGGGGTGGGGAGGTATGGGGGGAGGGGCCGCCGGGAGGCCGCGCCCCCACCCGGCCACTGCCCTCTCTCGGTCTCCGCGCCCTGGGAAACTCAGTCCCCCGCGGTGGCGAACCCGGCCGTCCGACGCGGAGGCCCTGGCGAGTTCTGCACTCCTGGAACAGGAACACCTGGATCCTCACGTCTCCACAACCCGGCAGCCGCTCTCCAGCGTCAGGGCTGAGAGCTCTAGGGGCCATCCGCCGGGCCACGTCCGCACACGGGAGCCGGGGAGGGGCGGGTGATCCAGGGAGGCAGGGAGGACCAGGCTGGGCCACCAGAGCCAGTAGCGACTGTGTGCCAAGGGCCCCCAGCGCTGTGGTCTTGGAGTGACTGATGCAACAGCTGCCACAGGGCATTGTCGCAGAGATAATTAACAGGAATTTCTCCCGCAGGTCACTGAACACCCGCACCGCCCTCCCTGTGGTCCTGAGCTGTGTTTGTCCACTGGCCTCTCCTGAGCTTCAGAGGCCAGCCTAGTTTTTCCCGATTGCCTGACTCAGAACTTAGGTGTTTAGTCTCCCGCTGAGACGGTGGCCAGTCTCCACCATAAGCCTCAGGACTGGGTGGAAGACAGGACAGCCCAGGGCCGGCAGTAAAACAAAATTATCTCTTGTACCCAGGGAAGCCCAGAGATGGTAGGCACACAGCAGAAACGAAATACCCAAACGAAAATGCCCAAACCAGGCTGCTGGATGAGGAAACAGGAAACAGGATTTGTCAGCCAAAGAACTGGGCCTGAGTCCTGACCACCTCTGCCTCTGTGCCTCAGTTTCCTTTGGCACTGAAATGAGAACAAGGATACCTCTCTCCAAGGGCTCTTGTCCCTGCATGGATGTAAGGGGTTATATTGACCTCCTCCCTGGGTCCAGTCCCACCCAGAACAGATGCCCCAGCATCTAATCTAGAAGGAACAGAGCCCAGAGCTATCAGCCAGGCCAGTCTGGCTCTGGTTCAGGTCTTCCCCACTCCAGGTTTTGTGACCTGGACACTTCCCTTTCCTGCTCTGAGCCTCAGTTTTACCCTTGTATCTAAAAATGTGAGTACCATCTCTAAAGCACCCAGTTGGGGCAGACATGAATCACATTATGATAAATGGCATGGGATGTTCCTCCCTTGATTGCGTGTTAAGGTCGTGCTCTGAAAGGTTCCCTGGGAGGGTCACAGGAAAACTCTTGGGTCCCTGAGCCAGACACTTCCAGGCACAGCTCACTGCCGCCCTCTGCAGGCCTCTCCTCCCTCCTGATGCCCAGTGTTGCCAGTATCCCAGCTCCCTTATGTTGCAGACGCCCCCCCCCCCCCACCACTTAAGGCAGGCAAGCCTACCCCACCCCACCCTTCAAAACCTGTTTGGCAGGCGAAGAAACAGAATGAGTTGATGCCCTGACTTTGAAGGTGGACAGCTGAAGCTGGAATCCCAGCACATCCTCAGTGACCTTTTCTTTAAAAAGGGTGTAAAGTCCTGACCTCACAGGGTGTGGCATGTAGCGGCCTGTGACCAGTATTAGCTGCCTTCCTCAGATGACCCGCTCAGGTCACCCAGTGGGTTGGGACAGGCAGGCTTCCAGAATTCCATTGTCTGGTTGTCTCCAGAGAGAATTCCAAAAGCACAAACTGCTTTTTTCCCTTGCTGATGGAACCCCTCCACTCCCAGGGCAGGGAATTATGGGCTCATCCGGGATATCATCATTAATCACCTGGGAAAGAAAAGGATACTTTGGGAGGGGAGGCTTTAACTGTTAGAGAGGTTTCCCTGGTTCACTGGCCCCAGTTTAGCCCCACCTCAAATGTATACATAAGCGAACTTAATTCAGAAACCGGAAGATAGTGGCTATCTCCCCTGTGAGATAACTTCTTCTGGCCCCAAGGACACTCCTCTCATCCTTGGTGCTTTCCTAAAAACAATCCCACCCTGGGTCTCTGGTCTTTTCCTGCGGAGTTTTCTTATCATCCATCCCTCCCCCAGGGAGGAAGGAATGAGGAGGAACCTGGGGACCAGATACATAACACTCTCAATCCCCCATTAGGTGTGTGTCCCCAGCTAGATCTAAACTCCCAAGGGATTGGGGCAGCTGTTTGTCTCGTTCCTGACTGACTCCCCAGTGCTCAGCACATAGTAGGTGCTCAGCCAGTGCTGGCTGAAAGAAGAATCGGACGTGTGTGTGGCCCGGAGGAGCACACAACCCAGAGAGAAAGATGGACATGAGTGGGGGGAGGAAAGGATAAAGCTCTGGGTGTGTTTCAAGCACAGTTGGGTTAGGAGATGAGGCTGGCGTGGGTGGCAGGAGGTGACATCAGAGGCAAGGGAGGGCCTTGTAAGAAGGCTTGTAAGACGTTTGGCTTTTATTCTAAATGCAAGGAGAAGCCTCTGGAAGGTTCCAAGCTTGCATTGTCGGATAGAACCCTCCGCCATGATGGACATGTTCTACACTCCGCACTGAACCAAACAGTAGCCACTAGCTTCCTCATGCGACTCCCAGGCACTCAAAATGTGTGTGGCTGCTGCAACCAAAGAACTGGAAAAATCTAGTTGGATTTAAAATTCGGTTTGGGTCGGGGCGCCTGGGTGGCTCAGTGGGTCAAAGCCTCTGCCTTCGGCTCAGGTCATGGTCCCGGGTCCTGGGATCAAGCCCCGAGTCGGGCTCTCTGCTCAGCGGGGAGCCTGCTTCCCCGTCTCTCTCTCTGCCTGCCTCTCTGCCTACTTGTGATCTCTGTCTGTCAAATAAAAAAGTCTTAAAAAATAAATAAATAAAAATTTAAAATTCAGTTTTGGGGTGCCTGGCTGGTTCAGTCAGTGGAGTATGCGACTCTTGGTCTTTGGGTTGTGAGTTGGAGCCCCGCTTTGGGTGTAGAAATTACTTTAAAATCTTTCAACGTTGAATAAATAAATAAATTTTAGTTTGCTTTAACTTTAATTAATTTAAATTCAAATAGCCCACAGTATCTGCCATAAGCAGTGGGGTGACTTGCTCAGATTTGTTTTGTGGACAGGTGGGAAGTAGGGGGTGGGAGCAGGGTAAGTAGGCGGGGACTGTGCCCCCGGTCCAGAAGAGGGCCACTGATATCCCAGAACTAGACTAGGGTGGAAGCGAGGCAGTAGAGAGAGGGGGTCGTATTCCAGGTTTGTTCTGGACATATAGATGGATCAGCTGTTGAAGGAGGAAGGATCAACTATGACATGGACAGTGGGTCATTGAGTGTGATGGGGAAACTGGGGTGCCCATGTGAGAAGGTTCAGGTGCCCATAGCCCATCCACAGAGAGTGGGATTGGGGCACCAAGGAGCTGTCAAGACCAGAGACCGAAATGGGAGCATTCTTAGTGAATAGCTGGTATTTATGGCCATAGGGTTGGAGATTCTTCCTGGCTTCCCAGTGGTACTGAGTGAGGAAGGGTTAGGGGCTGGACTAGGAGGGAAGTAGAGGCAGAGAGACTGAGAGGCATTGGCCAGAGAAATGACAGGGACCCAAGAGTCCTGAGGGATGCAGACACAGTGAGGATGGCAGGGCCCCTGTGAATGACAGCCAGACTTCACCAGGGCCTCCATGAGCCCTGAAGAACAAGTGACATTCATTTTCTTTGTCGTTATGCTTTTCTGAATTCTTTATAATGAAAATGCCTATCTTTTGTGATGTAAAAATATTATTTTTTATTTTTTTACAGCTTCATTGAGATAGAATTCATGTGCAATAAACTCCACATATTCGAAGTGAGCAATTTGATGAGTTTTGACATTTGTAACACACTTGTGAAACCATTGTGATGATCAGATAACAGACATTTCCATCACTCCTAAGAGATATTGTTGTTGTTGTTCTTCATCTAAGAACTAAAGGGGGAAAAAGAAATAAGATTATTGGTGATGTCTCCCTCAATTTCTTACGTTTTCTGGGATGTAGTTATATGGGTCTAAAGTTTATTTAGAAATCAAACACACACAAAACATTTATCGTGTTTAAAAAAAAATCACACACACACACACACACACACACCACCACCACCACCACCACCACCACCACCAACCGCCCCCCCCCCCTCAGGCAACCTCAGCCATCCCTGAACCCAGAGAGAGATGCTGGCAAACCCCTCCCCAAGGCTGCCCTTTCCCGTTGTTGGAAGAAGCGGCTGGGACCCAAAGCCCCCTCTCCTGGATAGAATGCAGAACTTCCAATGCGTCGAAACTCGCCCTGTAAACAGCCCAATGTCCAACAAATGAATTGTCAATCGGAATGCGGTATATCCATACAATGGAATATTATTTGGCCACAAAAAGGAATGCAGTACTGATACTATAACATGGATGAACCTTGAAAAACTTCTGCTAAGGGAAAGAAATTTGTCATAAAAGGCCACATACTGTATGATTCCATTTAATGAAATGTCCAGAATGGACTTATCTCTAGAAATAGAAAGTAGGTTGGTGGTTGCCGGGGATAAGGAGGTAGGAGGAATGGGGAATGACTGTTAAAGGTCATTGAGTTTCTTTTTAGAAATGTCCTAGAACTAGATAATTGTTCTAGGTTTTGCACAACTTTGTGAATATACTAAAAATTATTCCATGATACACTTGAAAAGGGTGAATAGTATGGTATGCAAATTATCTTAATAAAGCTGTTCCATTAAAAAACAAAAATCATGGAGGATAAGTTAAGCCAGTCCTTGGGTCCCCGGCCTGAGTGAAAGCAGCCCCTGATCCTACTGACCTAGAGGTAAGGAGGAGCATTTTTCTAGCATCTTCTGAATGCTCCCAAGAGCCCAGGGATTCAACCTCACTCCACACACCACAGATGAGGACATATTTGCATGTCACCCAGCCTTTCAGCTGTGGGCAGGCTCGAGATCATCTTCCAGCTCCATAGCCTCTGTTCTTTCTGTCGTTCTGAAGTCAGAAGGCCCCACTAGTGTGAAACCAGGAAATTTCCATTTGTTCACTATAAAATGGACTGGCCACCCCTTCCCTTGGGGACTTCCTGAGCAGGTCTGCCAGCTACAGTTAGACAGGATGTGCACTGCACGAGGGCACACATCAAAGGAGGCATGGTTCCCCGCTTAGACCTGGTAGATATGAATATTGGTGGTGACAGCAATTGTAAAAAGGTGTCTTTTCTCACAAAATCAGTTTATAAAAGCAGTTTTCTAACATATGGATATCAAATGCCATGAGCAAGAAGGGCTATTTTTAAATTGAGGTGAAATTCACATAACAAAATTAACCATTTTAAAGTGAACAGTTCAGAGAGATCTAGTATATTCACAGTGTTGTGTAACCATAGAGCTTGTATCTAGTTAGAAAATATTTTTGTAACCAGGCGCCTAGGTGGCTCACTAGTTGAGTGTCTGACTCTTGATTTCAGCTCAGGCCATGATGTCAGAGTTGTGGGATCAAGCCCCATGTCAGCCTCTATGCCCTGCATGAAGCCTGATTGAGATTCCCTCTCCTTCTCCCTCCGTCTCCCACCAATATATATGTAACTTTTACATCACCACAAACTAAAAAGAAATGCCACACTCATTACGCAGTGGCTCTCCATTTCTCCCTCCTTCCAACCCTAGACAATCACTAACCTTTCTTTCTGTCTGTATAGATTTACCTATTCTGGACATTTCATATTAATGGATTCAAATAATATGTGGCCTTTTGTGTTTCGCTTCTTTCTTCTAGCATAGGGTTTTCAAGGTTCAACAATGTTGTAGCACGCGTCAGTACTACATTCCTTTTTAAGACTGAATGATATTCCGGGGCGCCTGATTGGCTCAGTGGGTTAAAAGCCTCTGCCTTCAGCTCAGGTCATGATCCCAGGGTCCTGGGATCGAGCCCCACATCGGGCTCTCTGCTCAGCCGGGAGCCTGCTTCCCCCCCGCCCCCCGCCTGTCTCTCTGCCTACTTGTGATCTCCGTCAAATAAATAAATAAAATCTTTAAAAAAAAACCAGACTGAATGATATTCCATTGTATGGCTAGACCACATTGTTTGCCCATTCATCTGTTGGTGGACGTTGGCTTGTATGTATAATGCTGCTCTGAACATGTATAACATGCACTTGAGTCCTTGTTTTAATTCTCTGGTGAATATTCTTAGGAATGGGATTTTCGGATCATATGGTGATTCTATGTTTAACTCTTGAAGGAAGTGCATGGGTACCTGTTTCTAATTAACACAAAGGCACTGCATGGGTGGGCGCAGTGGCATTGCCCATGAGAATTGCACAGCCTTCCATCCACCCAGCCCTCGCCAGCTGCCCAGCCTGGGGCTTAGGGGCTCCATGGATGTGACTTGTTTCCCCCCCTCATAGCTATCATACTGGCAGGAGGAAGAGAGAAGGGCTGAGAGAAAAAGACAGTGACTCCTTAGTCGCACAGCAGAAAGGGGGGGGGCACAGACTTGAGCCCAGCCTGCCCAAGTCCCATATTGGTGTTCCTGACCACTATACCATCAGGTGTGATTGTTAGAGGTGGCATTATAAAGACCTACCTAAGACCAACTTCACTATCTGGGCCTTTTCTTGCTCTTTCCTTTCTCCTGTCTGTACCCTCATCCCCACCCACTTCGGGGCCCGGAGACCAGAGGAAGGCTCCCTTCAAGTGGGATGTGGCCATGTGACCCCTTTCTGACATCTGTCATCCATCATCTGTCATGTATCAGCCCCAGGGAGCTACAGGCAAGATCAGAAAACTAGGGCGATCAATACAGCTTTCTTCAGTCTGCTTGTGTGTGCTGTGCTGGACGGTGCCTGGCTGGGCACCTCCTCCAGGCCGCCAGCCCCAGGCCCAGAATGGGGAGCATGGATCTATCTCAGTGGGATGTCCTTGGCCAAGGGCTCCACATGAGTGAGTGTGTGGGTCTTTTCTCCTAGGGCCCCCTCAGCTGGAACTCCACCTGCCTTCTGCAGGATCAATTATTGATGAGGCCCCTACAGCCAGCAGGAGTGGGGGGGTGGTCCTGGCTGCCATTTCCAGCCCTCACAGAGAGTGAAGGGGTGGGGACAAGATGAACTTCTTCCTGAAGGCATGGCCTGTGAGATGGTCCGGGCTGTGGCTTCTAGTGGTCAGTAGCCCAGAGCACCCTCAGGCCAGGGGGTACCATCCACCCGTGGGGCAAAAGAGAGCCCTGGGGCTGCTTTGCTTCCCAGAACACCCACCATGTGTCCCTGGAGACAGGATGGGGAGCAAGCAGAGTGAAGGGCCTGTAGACAGCAGGCTGGGGCGCAGGCTCAGACAGGTGGCTGGTGGTCCTGAATGCTGGGAAGGCGCCTGGATGTGGGGGTGGAAGCTGGGAAGGATCTAGGCTGCCTGGAAAGAGGTGGAGGCGGTGTGACAGCCACATTTCCCGTCTGCCTATCAACTTCCCTCAGGGGAAGGCCCGACATATGGGAGGTGACATGGAGAGGCCACAGCAGATGGCAGAGGAGCCCAGGAGCTGCTGGGAGGGTGTTATCCTGGGGCAGTGCCTCAAGTCCTGGGCTTCTCTGGCGACTGTGGACCCAGAGGCCCCCAGTCTTCAGGAGCGCCTTCTCCCTCAGAAGGGGAGGGCCCTCTCTGAGCTGTGTGCTGCTTCTTCTGAAGGTTCCCCTCACCCCATGCCTCCTCTCAGTCCCTGCTCTGGGCCTCCATGGTTGCCATATCCCTTTGGCAGGCTTGGACCTGCTTGTGACCCTGGGCCTTTCCTAGGTACCCTAATTCTCATCTGTGTGAATGGAAGTGATCCTCTGTCCATCTCTCTGTTCCAGTTACCTAGATCTTAGGTAACCTTGGGTCTCCCCGCTTAAGACGCCCTAGGTCTCTCTGGAGAGTGAGGTTCATCTGGGGGTGGCTCCCATCTCACTCCACTGCTGAAGTCAGAGTTGAATGGATCCTCAGCCTCCCCTCTCCAGTCTAGGGGCCCAAAGAGGGGCTGGGGCAGGGGGAAGTGAGTTGGTGCCCAGGGCACTAGATTAAGGAGGCTGGGAGCAAGTGGCCCACTCTGGGTCACTGGGGAGTCTTCATCACATGTCACCTGGCTGCAGGGCTGGGGACTACTAAAACCGTGGGGGCTCAGGCAGGAAGGGGTGACAGACGAAGGAATTGAGTTAATTTCCTGACTCTGCTGAGGACTCTGAGGAGGGTTGGGTGTGGTTGGGGCTATGTGAATAAACCTATTTTGGGGTCACAACCCTGGGTGACAGCGCACTGGGACTGCCTGACTGGGGTATAGACATATAAGGGACATAATGTCCCCTGGGCAAAGCTGCTTGGCAGGGATATATGGCTGAGGGACAAGCCTCTTCTGAACCATTTGCATCTAGTCCTGGGTCTCTACCCCAGAAATGACAGCCACATTTTGAGGTGTTTGAAGAGAACCTCTCTGTTGATGTGTTGATTCTGACAGGAGACTTTATCAGCTGGTGGGAAACAACTAAGCATGCACAGTGGACAACACAGGGAGAGTTTAATAAAGGGCTACTTACAGAGAGTGGGTGCACCTGAGACACTGTGTTTCCAGCTCAGCAGCTATTAGCAGGTCCTCATTATTACCCCCTTTAATCCGGGGACCTGAAGGCATGAGGAGAGGGCGCCCTTGGAGAGGCCAGCCCACTGTGGCTGGGCTCCTCCATCCCATGACGTTTCTGTTGTGTGCCACAAACCTGGTCCTGGTGCAGCCTGAACCCCCCGACCTCCCGCTCCAAGACTGTGTCCAGTGGACCAAGCTGGGCCACCAGTCCTCAGAAGGGCCAGCAAGTTCTCTTTGGGAATCCCGAGTGTACACAGCTACAGCCATAAGGATGGTCACCACAGTAACTTCGGTAAAAGGTTGAAGCTGGACACAAACCTCATGTCCCGCTCAGAGGGCAGGGCACTTGGGACTCTGGTCCATCGCCCAAAGGAAAACTGGCAGCTGCTAAAGGAACAAGCCAGGTCCATGTGCGCAGAGGGCTCCTGCAGGTCAACCAGAATGCAGGCTGCCAGGCAGCATGTGTGGTGAGAGATCATTCTGGCCAAACAGCAAATGAGACAACATACGTGGCAATGCTGCTGAGTAATCATCTGGAAGGACTCCCACAGCTGTTAACAACAGTTACTTCCAAGGATGGGAGTTGCGGGGCTGGGGGCGGGGGTCTTTCACTCTGCATACAAAGCCTTGTAGTGTCTTGTTTTGGGTTACAAAAAACAAGCACAGAATTCCTTCAAGAGTGATATTTGTAAAGAAGTGTTTTAGATCTGTAAAAAATGAGCACTAAAATATGGTGAAGGGGGACTGAATAGAAAAAGATGCCGGTGTTTTTCCCCAACCAGCATCTGGCAATTGCTGTGGGCCAACCAGCATGCGCTGGGCCCTCCCAGTGTGCCAGGCACTGTGTGGGGGGGGCACTGACCAGAGGAGCTGTTTGCAAAATTCCTACCATCTCAGAGAAGCAGGTAGGATATGCCCCCAAGGAGCCCACCTCTTTGTGGAACGGGGTGGGTGGGGATAAGTGGGCTCATCCCGCGGCTGCGGGGGAGGGGTGGGGGGGGAGTTCACAGCCCCCACAGAAGAGCAACACGAGGGGCCAGAGATCGCAGGTACTCTGGGTGGGAGCTGGGAGGGGAAGCCTGAATTGTTCTTTCCTGTTCTGGATGAGCAGGACGGGGTGGCATAGATGGGGAACTGGCTAGACTCTGGAGGGCCTCTGACGTCCTCCAAAGATCCACGGATGCCACCATGAAGGTCCTGAGAGGCACACACCTAGCATTTTCTCATTCTCCAGGCCTTTCCTGTGCAGGTCAGAGGGAGAGAGGGGCGGCGAGGCAATGATGGGCACTGGCCCAGAAGCATCTGGGTGACTATTGCCAGTAACCGCACGACAGTGCCATGCACAAGGCATGCAGCAGTAATTCACCCCAGGGGCAGCTGGGCAGCCTCCTTCCCATAGCACAGCTAGAGAAATTCATTGTCCAGCTGGGCCAGAGAGGCATGAATGGCCTGCCTGGTCCATCCTTGTCCACTGACCTATAGGACAGGATCCCAGGAATCAAGGAGAAGCCAAAGATGATCCCTTGGCCAGAAGGAGCCTGAGAGACCCTCTTGTCTATCCTCCACCAGAGGAGCAAGGCTGCCACAAATCTGTGGCAGAGGGACAGTGGACAGTGAGGCCTGGGGCTCTGAGGCCTAGGACTGCAAGTCCTGTTGATTATAGGAAAGGCCCAAGCAGGGATGACAGGTGGGTTTTCCCTCACATGCTGGCTTTTTACAAGTCCTGCTTGCCCTCACCACTGAGAAGACGAGGATCCTGAGGCTGACCCAGGAAAGTTGGCAGAGTGCCTGCGTGGGCAGCTCATGTGTGCCAAGGGCGAGAGAGGCGGGCCATGAGTCACCAGGGTCTCATGTCTGTGGTTCTGAGGACTTTTGAGGCTGGGCGGTGAGTGTCTGGCGACTCTGTAGGCGACACTGGCCTTCCAGAGGATCACTGCAGTGCACCCACCAGCTGGGCTGTGGGGGTGCTCCTGGGCAGCCAGTGTGGGCCTTTCCTGGCTCCCAACCTGCTAAAGAGCAGAGGCTGAGCTCTGGGGCTCAGGATGGTGGGTGGGCAGACACAGATGGCTTCACGTCACCACTCCATGGTCGTGGAAGGCACTGCCCATGTGTGTGCGGCAAGTAGAGGCTTCTGGTGAAGGCTCCAGCTAACAGCAACCCAGGCTGGAGGATGTCGTGCTCTCCTGGGTCTCGGGTGGACTCCCCTCCATTCCTGTAAGGAGAGGAGAAGTCATGTGACCCCAACTAACACCTGCAGCTGACATGAGGCAGCCTCCCTCCCCTGCCACTGGCACCTTCCAGCGACTCTGCTGGTTAGAGCTGAGCTTGACCTCCCAGGCCTCTCAGTCAAGGCCTTGGTGACCTGGCACAGGCCGATTGTCTGGGAAGTATTCCAGATGGTGGAACAGCATGGGGAAAGACAGAGATGGGGAGAGCCAAAGCCGGGACACATTCACGCAGCTAGGGATACCTAGTCTGGCTCATGAGGAAGCTGCCAGGAGGGCAAAGAGAGCCAGGGAGTGAGTCTGAGCTGGCAGGAAGGGTCAGGAAGGCTGAGGGCCTGACATCAGAATCATGACAAAAAGAGTTCCCCAGAGAGGACTGCACGGGAGAACAATTTAAGGGAGTGGCCTCTTGGGACAGGAGGCTGGTGGACTTGAGTTTTAGGGTGCAAGCCTGCTCCCCAGCCCCCGACCCTGCTGTCTGTACGCACGGATGAGGTCTCCATCGCCGACCTGGAGCCGGGTGCTGTTCCTCCTCTCCAAGTCCTGTAGAACCGACTGCTCGAATGCCAGGGCAGCTACGCGGCTGAAGAATGCCTTCACGTTCTCCCCTGTGGGCCCAAGAGATGGCCCTGACCCCACTGCCTCAGCCCTTACCTGGAGATGAATTTGGGAGCCAGTGGGTGTGGATGCCAGGGAGGCCCACCTGTGGGGCTGCCTTGGGTGGCACAGTGCAAGTGATTGGGGCTGGCCAACCTGGCTTCCCACCTCCGGGGGCTCTGGGGCCCCCAGCCCCGGTAGCTCCCTCAAATCTCTGAGCCTTAGTTTCCCAGCGTCTTCTCTTCCAATTAATAAGCACTGAGCATCTCCTGTGGGCCTGGCACTGGGATGTGTGGAGATCAGAAGGGTGTCTGTTTTCCTGTCACTTCTGAGTACCTGTCCAGTGGGCAGCTGCTGTCAACTCCCACATAGAGCCTTTGTGCATCCTCCTTCAGATATAGAAGCCCAAATGATGGAGAATAAAGAAGCTGAGAAAAAGATAAACAACTACTGGATCACGAGGGAAGAATTTGAGAGATAAATGATCCCATTAGATGAAACAATATTAGAATAATTGGGATCCCAGAAGAAGAAAAAGAGAGAGGGTCAGAAGGTATACTGGAGCAAGTTATAGCAGAAGACATCCCTAATTTGGGGAAGGAAACAGGCATCAAAATCCAGGAAGCACAGAGAAAGCCCCTCAAAATCCATAAAAATAGGTCAACATCCCCTTATCTGATAGTAACACAAGTCTCAGAAACAAAGAGAAAATCCTAAAGGTAGCGCTGGACAAGAGGTCTGTAACCTAGAAAGGTAGAAATATTAGATTGGCAGGAGACCTATTCACAGAGGTAGGCCAGAAAGGCCTGGCCTGATATATTCAAGAAATATATGAAAAATCTGCAGCCAAGGATACTATATCCAGGTAGGCTGTCATTGAAAATAGAAGGAGAGATATATCCTTCATATCCCACACATCCTTTGTGCTGAATATGAATGTCCCAAACCAAAGAGAGGTGAAGAGGGCTTTGGTCCATTAGCTGGATGATTCTCAGCAGAAGCAGATGACCTCCCAGAATTGGTCATGTTACCAGCCCCCTTGATCAGGTCTCTGCCCCAGATAGCCCCAGGGCTATCCCTTCAGATAGGGCTGGAGAAGGCCACCCGTCTGGGCACAGGGCTAGGTTCCAGCACCCGACCTGTGTACTACCCTTGGGCAGCTATACAATCTATACAACTGCACAGGGCAATCTTGCTTGGCCCATAGGGAACGCTCAGTGAATCTTCCGTTACTCAAAGCGGGGAGGGGGTGGGTCCATAGGGCATGGGGATTATTTCAGGAAGGAGCAGAGGGAACTGGGTATGGGTGCTGCCATCCATGATGGGCTGGAGGTTGTGCTTCCCCCTTGCCTCATGGTGCCTACCCTTAATACTCCCATCCTTGCCTCCCCTAGTTCTTGGTCAGATGTCTACTGTGGTCCCTTACCTGGGGTAAGGAACACAAGGCATAATTCCAGGGTCCCCAGAGCTGCTGGGTCCTTCTATGAGCCAGAAATAATTGCATGTTATTTCATTTCACATCCCCCACCGCAACCAACAACTTGTGTTTTTTAAGTGCGTCCTTTGTTTCTCTGCATTTTCTAATTTTTATTCAGTGAATACATATGGCTTTTGTAATTTAAAACATGTTTCGTAGTAAAAAATGAAATGATATGGACAGCATCACCCCATTTCCCAAATAAGGATACTGAGGCGGAGACATTAGGCATCTTGCCAGGGCTGGAGTAAGCAATGGCCCGTGGGTGAGGGCAGCTCAGGGCCTGGGGACTTCGTGTGGCTGGGGGCCCCATGTGGCTGGAGGACAGACTGGTGGGCTATGAATGAAGGTCAGGGGGTCACAAGCCATGTTGCAGTGTTCTCCACGATGACATCAGGCAAGGTATGGGAGACCCCAGTTACTGGGTCTTTCTTTGTGCCAGGAGGTGCCTCTTACCCAGCTACCTTAGGATGGGTGGGCAGGATGGTACAGTGGTTACAGGAGAGGGCTATATTCCAAACCCAGCTCTGCTGCTCCCTGGCTCTGCCTCAAGGAGGAAGGGGGATGTGTCAGAGAACACGGGCATAGGGCCAGGTGTTGCTCTTCCTGCTGGCCATGCTTCTGGTCTCCCCCTAGAGATGAGAAGACTCCTCTCAGGCAGTGGAAGGCCCTGCATGGTCACCAGCATAGCTGGCTGTGACTCAAGCATGCCACAGAGCCGCCGAAGGAAACTGCCAGTGCCCACTGGGGCACCAACCCCGCACCCACTCACCCGTCTTAGCTGACACCGACCAGTACTCCGCCTTCATCTCGTTGGCCAGATGCACAGCCTCCACTTCTGCCTGCTCACATGCAGCCCCTGACTGGGAGAAGCAGCCCTCTTGACCCAGCTTTTCAGGCCCTCCTGTTGGGGGCACTCCCCACTGTGCCTCTGCCCTCTCCAGCTCATCCCTCCCCAGCACATGGGCAGAGGGTATTCCTTCCCCAGGGGTGAGATCCCAGTGATTCCTCTCTGATGAGGTGAGCATGGGTGCCCCTTACTTTCAGCTCTGGGTCTTCCAATTTCCATCTAGGCACATCAGCACCTCCCCCTCCCTCCCCAAGCTTGGGCTGAAAGCGGCTGCATTTTCCCGAGGGCCATGCCAGGCCTCTAGCTCTGGTGTGCTCACCAGAAGGTCCTTCTTTGTTCCCACAAGGAACACGAAGCAGGAGCCCGGCTCATTCTCTCTTAGTGCGTCCTCCAGCCACTGCCTAGAAGGCACAGAAGGGAGACAGGCTGATGGCATCCATCCACCTAGAGAGGTCTGAGGAAGACCAGAGGATGGGGGATGCAGATGTGGGTCTGCTCCAGGGCTGGGAGCACTGAGTCTTGAGTTGCAGGGAGGGCAGAGTGGGTTGACCAGCTGGCTGAGTGGGGCGCTGGTCCTGCTACCAGCTGAGCTCTGGCTGGACTGCAGGTGGGCAGGGACACAAAAGTACCGGTCAGGGGAGGTAAGGACTCTGCCCTGGTTCTGCCCTCACCCTGTGTCACCTTGGGGGAGTCCTGCCCTTTCATCCACTTGAACGATCACCCCAACCTCCCTCACAGGGCTTGGGAGAAATGGGATATGAATGTCCCAAAGAGAGGTAAAGAGGACTTTGGTCCATTAACTGGGTGATCCCCAGCAGAAGCAGATGACCCCCCAGAACTGGTCATGTTACCAGCTCCCATGATCAGGTCTCTGCACCAGATAGCCCCAGGGCTATTCCTTCAGACAGGACTGGATGTATATATAATTTGTAGGACCCAGAGCAAAGTGAAAATGTGAGGCCCCTCAACCAGCAATGATTAAAGCTTTCAAGATGGTGACAGCAGAACTTTAAAGCAAATGCAGGCCCTCCTGAGTCCCAGCTCCTGTGTGACGGGCCTGGCTGTGTACCCTGAGCTGGTCCCGCCTTCAGCAGGTGGGTGCAAATCTTAAGGGATAATACGGTAACTGGACAGTATGTGGTCTTTGGGCAATCAGTTCTGACAAGCAAGTATGGTCCCTTGCACTGCCCACGGGGGGCCCAGCTCATGGGAGATCCCGAACCAAAGGGGACCAAAAAGGCCACAGAGTCTCAGACTTGCCTGGTGTGCTCCAGGGTCTGCACGTCAGTGAGGTCAAAGGCTGTGATGATCACTGGACATAGGGAGAAGCCAAGAACCGGTCAGCAATAGGTGAGACAAACATGGTGTACAAGGAGGGGCTCCCCTCAGGCAGCTCCCTGCTCCCAAAGAGAAACCCAGAGAGGAGCCTGGCTCCCGCAGAACTGCTGGAGTGGTCCTCCCAGGCAATCAGCCCTAATCCCCAGTATGGAGGCTAGGAAGGACACACCCCATGGCTGTCTCTTGGGACCTCCCACCCACCACTCTCTCTGACCCATATCCAGAGGCCCAGCCCCAGAGGACATCCAGGGACGCAAGATGAGCTCATGGGCTTCTGTGTTCAACTCTCCCTTCTGCCACTTACAGCCAAGAGAGCTCAGGTGAGGGCCTTAACTGCTGAGAGCCTCAGTTTCCCCATCTGTGAAATGGTGAGAACAATACCTTAGGCTTTCAGGGGTGCTGTGAAGTTTAAGCAAGAACAGCTATTTTTACAAGCTCGGGTCTAGAGCCTGACATAGGACTTTCGACCAACAGCAGCTATGGTTATGAGGGCAATTAGCAACAACCAGCTTTAGGGGAACAATGGCTGAGGAGCTGGGTGGTTCTCATCTCTGGCTCCACCCAGGTTCTGTGGTGTCCAGGATCCTGCTGGAGTCCTGAGGGGAGTCCCATGTGGCTCAGAAAGGCCGGCTCTCTACTAGGCCTGGGGATGTGAGCAGAGCCAGGCAGAACTTTACCTGCAGCTTGGCTGAAAGCTGCAAGAGGCCCCCTGAGGCAGAGGGGAATGAAGCTAAGGAGGATACTGAGAATAGTGACAGTGGCAGGCCAGGCTGCAGTTCCCAGGGTTGTACCAGGTGCCTAACACCTCATCTTCAAGGGGTGTTGTCCCCGTTAGAAGACAGGCCAGAGCTGGAACTCCAACCCAAGGCCAAGGGACTCACGGTTTATTTCCTGGTTTTGCTTTTTTCCCAAACCTCAAATGGCAATGTTATGATTTCTTTTTACCAGTATCGAGTAGATGTAAATGGGTCTCATAACGTGAGCCTGGTTTTGGATACTGTGAATGGCTCTCATGTCTCCCACTGAAACCCCTGGGGGAGCTGGGTTGGAGTGGGGAGCTTGTCTGCAAGGCCTGTCCAGTACCTGGGCCACCCCTTGGCCCCCCACTGGCAGGTGCAGTCCTTCTGTGGCCCCTCTGCTCCTCCCCTCCAGCCTCGCCTCCTTGCACCTCCTCCAGGAGTCGACTATGCTCTTCTTTTCTGGGGTCTCTGGACATGCACCTCCCCCTCTGAGCATCCTTCTGAGCTGAAACTGGCTGAGACTCCCAGGGAGCATCGACCAGCACAGGGTCCCTGAAGGATGTGACTGTCGAGGCCAACCCCAGGCCCGGCTGGCTCAAAGGCAGTCTCCTCAGCCCCGAGGACTGGCCAGGGATTTTCTTAGTGGTTCCTGGAGGGCAGATTTGGTACCCGTGTAGAGGACCCGGACTTCTTGCTATGAGCCCAGTGGGAGCCTCCTGCTGTACGCGGCTGAGGGCCCCACCATTGCTATCACCCGGATGCTCACCCTGGGCACCCCGGTAGTAGGCAGATGCAATGCACTTGAACTTCTCCTGCCCTGCTGTGTCCCAGCTGTGTGGTGGCAGAGACAGAAAGGGAAAAAGAGAGGGGGCAGATTAAGCAATTGCAGTGGTCTGAGCCAGCAGGCTGGTGGGGCTGTGGGCAGGCAGGCCTGAAGGCTTGTGCCAACTACCAGCCAGAGGTCCCCACCCACAATTCCTCACGATTTCCTTCCTAAGGTGCCCTATGGGGCAATTCCCTGACTGGATTCACCGTGGGGGAGGGCCATGCCCTAGTTCTACTGCCTAGATGAATGGAGGGGTGGCGGTGTCTAACAGGGACCTGGTTTGTATCTCCTGGGTGACTCTGATCAGGTAGCTCTGGCTCTCTGGAGAAAGGGAGCCCTGGTTCTATGGAAAAGAATGCAACAACTGGTTAATGATATCTGCCATTGGCACAGTATAGGACAGGGGACACACATACTGAGATCTACTGGCTCTGCTTTAGAACCAGGCAGGTGGTCACTGTGCAGAGCTGAGTCTGAAAACCCATCCCTTTTTTAAAATTAACAGATCAGAATTAAACTTTCTGCCATAAATGGAAAAGCAGACAAGTCATGAATAAGAGCTCAATAGTCTGCAATTTTTTTGAAGTGATTCAGCATGACGCAGAACTTTTTGGCCCTATTCTGTCATTAATTCATTCATACTGTCTTTTGCTTCTGAAGATCACGCTGAGTGGGAAGCTGGGAGGGTGGCTTGGAGATGGTGCCAACTGGGTAGCTGGCAGTGGAGGGACAATGAGAAGGTAAGCCAGGACAGTGTATCTGTTCTAGTTAGATAAGGCTGGTGGCCACAAGGAGGAGCCCAGCACAGGCCGTTCTCTGCCCGGCTCCACCTTGGCTGTCCCATCAGCTCTGTGTGCCTTGTTCTCTTGGCTTCAGAGCCCCTCGGTCCTGCAGCCCTGCAGCCCTGCATTTTCACGGCCTCTTCTGCTCTGGTCTGGCCCTGACTCTCCCTCGGGCAAGATTCGGTGGTGCCATCTGTGTCTAGGACTGCACTGGAGCTGTTCTCAGAGAAGCAGGCATTATCATGACAGAGTTAAGAGCTGAGGCCATGAGAAGGTGAACTCCATTCTGATGACCATGGATCCCCAGGGTAAGCCCAGGCAGAGCTTAGAGGATTGAGGAATGAAACCAGAGGAGCAGGTGTGACCCCCCAGAGAGAGAGAAAAGAGAAGGGGAGGGATCAGGACAGAGGCAGCAAGCAAGAAGGGTATAGGGGCAGCTAGGAGGAGAGCCTAGGAAAGGGAGGAGGCCACACAGGAGAACCTGGAAGGGCTAGTGACACACAGACAGACCTGCTGTAACTTCCAGGTGCCAGAGGAGATGGACAGCTGGGTCCAGGGCCCTGGTGGGAAAGTGTGAGCCTGGAGGAAAGACTCTGGGTTGTTCTGAGGAAAACAAGAGGGGAGGGGCTGAAGCCAGCAGGCTACCAAGAGGCAAAGACATGGGGTCTGGCAGGGAAGCAAACAGAGGGAGAGAGACAGGGGGAATGGAGTCAGAGCAGAGGGGTGAGGAGGAGGAGGAGGGGTATGTCAAGCCTGGGGAAGGCACGTGGACTAGGTGGTCTCCACCAGGCCTTAGCATGCAGGGACCATTTTGGGCTCCACTTTCCAGATGAGAACAGATGCTCAGAGGTCTGAAGTGACTTGCCAGAAGCGACCCTGCTGGCCTGATGAATGGGATCACTGAGGGCCAGGCAGGCCAGGGGCAGAGACCTGAAGCCAAAACGTGAGCGGCAGGTATCGGGGAGGACAAAGGTGGATGGGCACATCAGGCTGTGAGGACTTCCCCAGGTCTGATGACCAACGTGAGACACCCATGGGGGTGAGGGAGTATACAGGGCTTTGAGGAACTGGAAAAGCCCAGGGTCATATACCCATCCCTGTTTGTCCAGACAGGTCCTCACTGAACACCACAGGGCACAGTCCAGAAGGAGCTCACTGCGGCTTTCCCCATGGGTCTCCCTCCGCAGAGCCCACCCATGAGCCACACAGGAAATGGTGTGACATGAGGGCAACTTACATCTGCAGGCTGTAGGGGATGCCAGCGATCTCAAAGCGTTCAATTTCAAAGTCTACCCCGATGGTGGCCTTGTAGTCACGGTCAAAGACATTCTTACAAAACCTGTGGGAGTCGAGGAAGTCATCAGAGAGGCTATGTGTAGAAGCTTTGCTCATGACAGTGCAAGTCGGCAGGCAACAAAAAGGCCACCCATAGGGAATATAAGGAGATGATGATGGTCCACGAAGATACAGAGAAGACAGACAGAGCTGTCATTGAGAACTGTGTTGGGGAAGAGGGGCTGCGGCAGCCTGGAAGGCAAAGGTCAGGGCCAGTGAAGTCTGAGCCCATGGTCCTGGGGGATGGTGTCATGAATGCCAGGGTCCTAGGACGCTGCACCCCTCCGCGCGACCTGCCGCTCCCTGATGCCTTGTATCCCCTCTGAGCTGTGGTTTCCAGAAGCCACACAGTTTTAACTATGACAATGTTAACGGGGCCTCCCCGGGGAAAGGCGTGACAACCAATGCCAAGAGGTGTGGCCAGAGGGCGCACCTGTGGATGAGGCTGGTCTTGCCCACGTAGAGATCGCCAACGACAACCACCTTGGAGAGTCGCAGCCTGTGAGGGATATGGTTGTGTTGCTTACAAGCATGGCCACAGAGCATCTTCACACGTACAGGCCATTCCTTCCCTGAGCTCCCCACTCATGAGCCACGTCTCAATCCATGACAGGGTACGGGGCACTCTGGGATGTCTCTCTCCATCCCTGGCACTCAAGGGGAGGGCAGGAGGGCCTGCATTTGTTCTTGGGACTCTGCTCTCCCTGGGGCTATATACTCTTGACCCCAATGGGCCCAAGCCCTGTTGTGAAGGTCAGAACTGGGCGCGAGGGGAGCCTGAGTCTTGTTCTGATGGAGAAGACGGAGAAGTCCCAGGTGCAGCTGTGTCCAAGCTGGGGGCATGCGCAGTAAGGAACCTGGAGCATACCAAGGGTGCAGACACCTTTGTGTCTGCCAAGGGGATACAGCCACGGGGACAGAGCACCCGCACCCTCCGACACATGCCTGGGGCTGCACGGGCTCCTGCTTTTTGCAAGCAGGATACCTCTGTCACCTATTGCCTTGGAAGTGTCTGCAAGGGCCACGCAGCCCCCACGAGGTGAGCAGTGGACAGGACTCAGGCCAGGACTCAGCTCTGGGCTACGGCTTGAGGTAAACTGGCTGTGAGGTTCTTGGGCTCTCCAGGGACCTTGCTCACTGAGAGTAGCCACCACCCCAATCCCACCCTGTGTGTATCCTGCACTCCCTGTGGCACCATGCCTGGGACTGTGGGTGGAAGTTTCGGCAGCTCATGCCAAAGGAGCTCAATGGGCAAACCTCTGAAAAGGTACTTCCTCTGCCTGCAGACAGCAAGAAGGCACCTGTGTCACCTGGTGACCTGGTACAGCTCCCCTGGCCATGTGTGGGGGCACGGAGGTTGTATCTTCTCTGCTCCCAGGGGGCCTCTGGTCCTGGAGCAGGGTGGACCTGACTCCACCTGCCAAAGTTTTATGGGGGCACCCACTGTGCCTCAGTTTCCCATCTCCCAGAGCCATTGTGAAGGGTCAGAGAGGTAATCTGGGTGAATTACCTTGTACAGAACCAGCCCTCCCTAACTGGGAGCCTGTGTTCTCATTCCGTGACCATGGCTGGGATGGCCATTTTGACCTGAGCCTGGCCTCACTCTGCACCCCCTGGGGAACCTCCGAGCCGGGCTTCCACCGAAAGCTCACCACACCTGTGTGACAGCTGGGAGTTCCTCAGGAAGAGAGGCAAAGCAGGCCCCGGTACATGCGTGTTAAGTGAAGGAGTAACTGAGGTGCCAGGGTGGCTCAGTTGGCTAAGCATCTGCCTTCGGCTCAGGTCATGATCCCAGGGTCCAGGGATCGAGCCCTGTGTCGGGCTCCTTGTTCAGTGGGAAGCCTGCTTCTTCTCCCTCTCCCTCTGCCTGCTACTCTGTCTGCTTGTGCTCTCTCTGTCAAATAAATAAAATCTTTAAAAATTTTCAAGAGAGAGAGAGAGGAGTAACTGCTGCGAGGTCCCTGTGCTGGCAGGGCTAGGTGGCGCCAGGTGCTACTGAGGTGGGATCAGAACAGACACAACCCTTGCCCTCACAGGCTGGGTCTAGTGGGGAATCCAGAGAGGCAAACTCATAATTCTGTGAGATAAGTGTCTGGGACCCAGGGGGGCACCCTGGCCAACCCAGGCTGGGGCATGGGGGTAGCACGGGACTCCCCTTAATGCTCTGTTAGAGAGGGACTGACCTTCCCCATGCTCCTGCTTTATTTCTGGTGATGAATGCAGGTGGGGAAATGTGGGTGTGGACAGGGTGTCTGGAGAGTAGCGTACACGGGAAAGGCTGGTGAGCGGAAGGGTAGGAAAGACATTCCAGACAAAGGAAGCACACATGTGCCGAGCCCTTGGGCTGAAAATCAGCCCCGTGACTTACTGAGAAAAGGGAAAGCTCTTCTCTATGGCAGATGTTCTCTATGGCAGCAAAGCCAGACAAAAACGCCGATCGGCTCCAGGCCCGTACTGGACTGTATGGGTGTGGTCTGGGTAAGTGTTTCACTTGTTCTTCATACATTCATCCATGCATTCACTCCTTGCCGCTGCCTCCCCCTGCCACATTCTGTGTCCCCTGGGTCATGGGGTCACTCACCCCACGGTCCCTGTGTTCCTGCGCTGGCAGGTGGCGCTGACCTGTCCATGGAAGTGCTCCTTGAGCTGCAGGCAGGCATCAGGCGTGTACCACTGGAAGGGACAGACAGATGGGCATTTCATCCTGCGAGGCTGCAACTGCATCACCAAGCGGGGCAGTGAGGTGGTGACTTGCCTCCCAGCATTCCCTCCCTCCTGAAACTTGAAACTCCGGTTCGTTAGTTTTCCCTGACCCCCCCTGTCACATCCAACCTTTGTGCCCTCAGTGGCCCTGACTCCAAGCTCCTATGAGTCCTGAGGACCAGCAGCAGGGGCCGTGCCAGACCAAAGGCCCCAGGTGGCAACTCAGAGAGCGGGGTCTCGCCAGCAGCAGCTGCGTCCTTGCTGTGGGCATGTGGCAGGTCTCTGTCCTCTCTGGACCTCTTTAGGTGAGAAGAGGGGTGGGCTGTACGGGCCCTTTTAACTCCAAGATCCTTCCATGCCTCCGGTGGATCGTGGATGCCATTTTTGCTTTAAAAATGTGTTGTCTGTGTGTATGGAAAATGTCTTGGAGGGCTCTTTGGGGTCTTCCACAGTTCTTGGAAAGCAGGTCTGGGTTATGGTTGAAGAACATGACCGTAGGCTCAGGAAGACCTGTGTCTCCCCTTAGCTGCTGTGTGATCCCAGGCAGCTATCTAATGTCTCTGAACTTTAATTTCCCCATCTGTAAGCCGGGGGCATAAAATGAAATGACGCTTGTAAAGCCATTAGTGCAGACCCAGCCTGGCATATACTAAGCACTCAACAAATGTTCGTGGCTATTAAGATGTTACAACATATGTTGAACACACATTTGTTTTGTAATCGGAAAAGATGATATTAAGGAAACTGAAGGCGACTGCTGTGTTTTGCCCTCAGATTGGTGGAGGCTGGGGGTGGAGTGTGGTAAGGATGTGGGGAAAAGGGCATTGTTAGAAGCTGTTGGTGTGCTCTGCTGTGATATGGCAGTGGTCCCCCGGGGCCACCTGTTCTGTCCTTTGGGGCACTGCTTGAACCCATGGCTCCCCTGTGACAAGGACTCCACCCCCACCCCAAGCCGTAGTGTTTCTTCTGAGTTTCCAGGCACTGAGATGGGCTCTTTCCTGTCCCATCTGCCCCATCAGGCATATGTCCCCCAGGCACGGTGGAGGCAGCAAAGACTAGAAGAAGGAGCTTTACAAAAGGGCAAGTCACAACACCTCAGTGAGCCCATTTCCTCATCTGCAAAATGAGGACACTCATAACAGCAGCTCTTCATGTGGTCGTTGGAAGATCAAATGGGTAATGCAGGTGAAGAGCTTAGCTTCGCAGCCCACATTCGTGTATAACAGTGTCAGCTACCTCATGAGGAAGCAGGCTGCTTTCTCCTGTTAACTTTCATGTCAGCTTCAAACTGGGGATAGCCTGGTCATGGTGGTGGTCATTGGAGGAATCCCACCATTTTGGGTGCACTGAAGAAATGTAGTAGGGAAGACTGGGCAGAAAGTGGGAGCTGATTTTAGAAACAGGGAAACTGAGGCACAGAGTAAGAGAAGGGACTTGCCCCACCTGACCATGCATTTCTCAGGTCTGAAGTGTGTGGCCCTGGGATAGAGGATGAACTGCCACACACAGGATGGGGGAGAATCTCACTCTGGGTGAAAGCACGATGGATGCCCCAGGCTGCCTCTCAGGGTAGGGGAACATTGGAGCCCTGGAGTCAGACCCAGGTCAAGTCCTGGCTCTGCAGCACCCAGCTGTTGACTCCAGGCAGCCCTCCTTACCTCTCTGAGCCTTGCTGATCTGTTCCGGAAATGGAGTCCTCTGTCCCATGAGACTTGAACTCTTTTATGCCGATCACACTTCCCTTCCTTTCAGCTCACTAAACATTAGGATCCATCATCCCTAGTGACCACAGTCAAGCTCTCTAGGGAAGCAATTTGTTTGGTCCTCTGTGGAGATGGAAAATTCTGGGGGAGCTGTCCCCAGGTCCGAGGCACCACTGCTTTCTCTGTGGTGTGTAGAGGCAGAAAAGGTGAGAAGGTATGACTGCAGACCCAGATTACCCAAAGTCTGCAGTCACCTCCTTCCTCCTTACCAGCCTGGGCACAGAATTCACAAGACAGAGAGGTCATTCCATGGAGAGGATTTTTCCCTCTATACCTGTCCCAAGTCACATGGAGGCAACCACTAATGGAAGGATCTTCTGTGTCCTTCCAGAGATATTTTTGGCAAGTATAAACAAACACATACATTTGTTTTCTCCCCTCTCCTTTTTCCACCCATGGGAGTACGCTAGGCACACTGCTCCTTTCCTCGCGTTTTTACTTAATTGACTGGCCTTCACTGCACATCCACTCCTGAAGGGAAGCTTCTGTCTCTTGTGGCAGAAGTAGCATTTTGCTGTTGAAGCAGCCCCCCCAGAGGACATTTACATTGTATCTGACCTGCTTTATGAACTGCTCCAAGGCCTGGCCTTGAATGACTGGATCAGAAGGCAGGGGCATTGCAATGGTGGGAAATATTGTCCCACGCCCCATCTAGGGGTTGGACCAATTTGCATTGCCTGATGCAATTAATACTAGATTTTAATACACATGGAAGAGCCCTGTTTTCAGCAGGAACCGGAGGTGGAATGGTAAGGAGAGAGGAGGCTGGATTTGGTGTCAGGAAACTAGAGTGCTATTTTGATAATAGTAATAATAAGGAAAAAACAGCAGTGAGCACGACTCAGGTAAGGGATTTCCCATTTACCAACAGCTAGGAACCCAATGTGTTTTTATCCTTATGTACCAGCAGGTCTGAGAGGTTGAGTAACTTGCCCACAGTCACACAGCTTAAAGACAGAGTCAGAATTCACACCCAGGACTGTCTGACTGCAAAGTTTGTGCCTTTAATCTCTGTGCAACATTGTCTCCTGCTGTCACCCTTAACTTGCTGGTCCACCTTGGGCAAGTCAGGGCCAAGTGTCCCTGTTTCTAAAGAAGTCTAGTAAGTTCCCAGGGTCTGTTAGAGAGGGACCGACCTCCCCCATGCTCCTGCTTTGTTTCCAGTGATGAATGCAGGTGGGGAAATGTGGGTGTGGACAAGGTGTCTGGAGAGTAGCGTACATGGAAAAGGCTGGCTAATGACCCTCTCTACCTTAGGGAAGCTGGTGATGATGCGGTCCCTGCTCACGGGCGGCCCCAAAGGCGTCAGCGAGGACCTCATCCTTGCAGAGTATCCTGTGGACCAACCAGGGGACAGAGAGTTAGGGAGCTGCACAAATCCCTGGGGACTCAGTAGCTATAAACACTGATCCACACCTCTTTCTCTGTCAGGGAAACTGGCCAGAGGCCATATTTTTCCATCTGCAGGCAGTTTAGCTGGTGTGGGCATGGAGAGGACCCAGCTTTCCCCGCCCTGCCTAGAAGTCAGGGAGACCTGGGTCTCCTCCTGCCAGCTGTTTAACCAGGAGTGGTCCCTCTCCGACCTTACCACAAATGCCAAGCTGTGCATCATCACAGCCCAGGGGGAGGAATCGGAACTGGAGTGGTCCCCTGCTCTTCCTCTTCGAGGTCTGAAGGCTCTGGGTGGGTGAGGGGCCTTAGGTTTCAGCCATCAGGCATTTCCCCCTGTCGCTTTACCGCACCCAACGCCTGGCCCCTTAACCCCTATTGTGCAGCCCTGAGTCTCCTGTCCTCCTCCTCTTCCCACTAGGTTGGACTTGGTCAAGTCCTTAACCAGGCGTACCGTCCTCCCGGACCTGACCCCGTCCTCCTTCAGGACCAACACAGGCCTGACCCAGGGCAGGCGCTCAGGAAATGAGGAGGCCCCAGGGCTGCAGGCCGTGACGCCCACCCAAGCCGGACCTCCGGGACGGGGTCGCAGCGGTGCGGACTAAGGTGGGACAGAGTGGGAGGCGGACTCACCCGCGGAGGTGGCAAAGGCTCTGGAAGCTGAGCGGTCTGGTGGGGCCTGTGGCTGTGATCACCATAGCAACTAGCGCCCCGCGGGACCTGCCGACATCTGACGAATCCCGGGCGTCGGGGACGGGATCTGGGCGGGGCTCGCAGCGGAAAGAGTCCCACACGTAGTTCGGAAGGGCGGTCACCGTAGCAACCGGAGCCTCTTGGGGGAGCAGCAGGGGCTTCCAAGACACTGCGCCACCGCCGGCGATCACCATGGTAACGAAGGCGGGATCCGGCAGGCGGGCGGTGGGCGGGGGCAGGGCGGCCAGGAGGCGGGGCCAGGACCCCAGGAGCGGGGGCGGGGTGGAGAGACTCTCGCACCCAGCTTCCATTAGAAAGGAGGTAGTTTAATCGAACGGGTAGGGATTACGTGAGGTGTTTAAATATTTATTTTCATAATATTAAGTACGATTTTTTCTGGTTACCTAAATAGTTCGTGTTTTTCTTTATATATTGGTATGGAGGGATATCCAAGATCCCTTGACTTCTTTTTCTTACATCCCGTATCTGATTTATCAGAAAATTCAGTAGTTTCTATCCTGAAAATTTGTCCAGTATCCTCTTACCGCCCGCCCCTTCCACTGGTATTGCCCTTGTCCAAACCATCATCTTCTCTCCCTCCAACTGGTCGCCTTGCCTTTACCCTTGCCGTTAAACCTATTCCCAGTTCAGCGCCCCAGGGCTCCTCCTGTTAAAACAGATCAGATCACCGGCAATCTTTGGCTCCAAACCGTCCAATGCCTCCTCATCTCTTTCAGATTAATAAAATCCTTACAATGGCCCAAGAGGTTTCATGTAATTTGCTCTGGCCTTATTTCCTCTTATCTTCCACCGCTTACTCCCCATCCCCACATCCCACACAGGCTCCGCTGGCCTCCTTGTTCCTGCAACACACCAGGCACCGGGGTGTTTGCACTGGCTGTTCTCTAAGCCTGGAATGTTTTTCCCCCAGATCTTCACATTGCTCTCCTCCTTCCCCTTCACATCTGCACAGATAACACCACTAGATAAGGCCTCCCCAAAGCAGCCCATTTACAATAGTAACATCCTCCCAACCCCTTATTCCGCTCTGTTTCTCCCAGGCACCTACTATTTTCTAACATACTGTAAAACTTGTTGTTTATGTTGGTTGTCTATCTCCCCCCACTGGCTGCAGCAAGAGCAGGGGTGTTTGTGTTTATTTCATCCATGTAACACACGGGTTAAACAGTGCCTGGGCATAGCAGACATTGAGTGAATGTTAAGGGAGTGAATGAATATTAAGTGTTTAAAAAGAAGGTAGAGAACACTGAAGTATGCTGCTACAATAAAAAGTAAATGAATCATATTTACTTGCATAAGTTTAGCTTAGCTCTGTAAAGATACCAGTGGTGGTTGTTACAGGTCAGGACAACCTGTTGGCTGGGGACTGAGGAGGGATGGAGACATTTTACTTTCATACTTTCTAGATTTTCCTCTATGGGCATATATTGCTTATTCAATAAATAACTCAAATGAAAATAAACAATTTGGAAAACAGATGATAAATAACATCTCCCTATCTCTGGCCTTGCCAGATCAGCCTTGATGTATTTTGGCGTGCTTTCCTCCTTCAAGTCTCTCCCACAGACACCTCCTCTTCTCAGCAATCATGGCATAAGAACTTTTGCTGCACCATTGGCCTTTGATTGGAGCCCAGTCCCCTGCAGTGGCCTACTGTTCATTAACCTTAATCTGCATAGTTCTGAAACTAATGATGCCTGAATATCATATGTCTGGCTTCTAGAGCTCATTTTATAAAATTAATTTCTGTAATTAATGGCTGTTTAAAAGCTGACCTGTTGCTGAGCTCCTATAAGCTAGTTTCTGTTTGAAGAGTGAGGCGTGTGGGCTAGATGGCCTCTAGAGGCACTTGTAAGACTGTGTAATCATAAAATGAGAGAGTAGTTAGCTTTGGAGAGGAAGATGGACTATAGGATAGGGGAAGAGGATGCAGGCATTCAGAATGTTCTTGGTGGTGAATTCACACATAGTTATTATATTTTTATGTTTCATAATTAACATATATACCTATATAATGTTATGTGTATCATTAAAAGTTAACAAAAAGAGATTGAAAAATAATAAAACTGAAGGGTAATTAAAAAAAAAAGGGGGGGGCGCCTGGGTGGCTCAGTGGGTTAAAGCCTCTGCCTTCGGTTCAGGTCATGATCCCAGATTCCTGGGATCGAGCCCTGCATCGGGCTCTCTGCTCAGCAGGGAGCCTGCTTCTCTGCCTGCCTCTCTGCCTACCTGTGATCTCTGTCTGTCAAATAAATAAATAAAACCTTAAAAAAAAAAAAAAAGGACTCTAACCAGATTCTGAGAGGCCCAGGGTTCCCAGCTTTGAGTATCTACTCGAATCGGCTCCCTAATTTCACAGACAAGGCACTTAAGGCTCACAAAATCAAAAGAATTTGCCTAGTGAGTTAGAACTAGAATTCGAAACCAGATTTCCTGACTCCTACTCCAGCACTCTCCACACCATCTTCCTAAAAAAGCTAGGAGGCTCTGGGTTAGAGATCCTTTATAACTAGGTCCTTTAAAGAACCACAGTAGGGGGCAGATCTCCCCATCACAGTGTGGGATCCTGGGCACACAGATCAGAGTAGTGATCTTCATTCCAAAGCTAATTGTGCTGGAGGCTAATACCTGGTGCCTTTGTTAGTTAAGTTTCAGTGCTAAGGCTGCAGGCTTAGGGGATGGACTTATGTGAGTTGCTCTACCTCTTCCTGTGCCTCAGTTTACTCAGCTATAAAATGGATGTGACTATCAACTTCAAGGTTCTTTGTGAAGATCACACAAGTTGGTGAAAGTGCTTTGTACATTATAAATCTTGATTCAAGTCCATTAACCATTCGTTTATGCTACATTGACTGAAACTTCTAGTATATTCCCGGCACTGGAAAAGCAAGTAAACAGGACTGACAAGGCCTCTCCATCCTCCGGGAAGTTGGAGTGTGCTGGGGGAAACAGAAATAGAGAATTAGAGGAGGAAGTGTGCCTGTGGGATAATTAAATTATGGGGTTATTTACTACTTTGGAGTTGGGGAGAGAACAGGATTCATGGAGGAAGTGTACACTGAGCTGTGTCTTGAAGGGCAAAGAAGTGGTTAGTGTTACAAGCATCTCAGCCGGAAGGAAAGAGTTGACCATTTGGGAAATTAAAAGAATCCAGCATGGCTGAACGAGGCCATGACCCAGGGCCTTGAGTAGCAGGCTAGGAGTTTGGACTCTGTCCTGAGACCAGGTGAAAGTTTTATGCAGGTGATGGCTGGGTCTGGCTTGCTTTCAAGAGCAATTGCTCCAGCCAGCAGTGTGTTTGCTCCACTGCGGGGCTGATCTTTGTCATTAGCAGGTAATCAGATTGCAGATCAAGGAGCATGAGCCAGGGCTAGACAGTTCAGGGATCAGACCAGGGTAATTTAGGGGAAGCTACTGAACCTTTCTGAAGTTTGTCGGTAAACTGGATGTTATCACTTCCCGAGTTTACTCTGAGGATTAAAGTCATGCAGGGTTCAATTCAGAGTACAGTCACTTCGCTTCCCTTCTGTACCATGAACAAAGCTGAGCCGCCTTTGTTCTTCACCGTAACCCTGTAAAGCATCATTGTCCGCACTTTACAGCTGGTCCCGGCCCCGGGGCCCTTCGCGCCTGCGCGATGGGCGCTGCGGACGCCGTGGGGGTAGCCTGGCAACCGGTCGCCGGGCAACGGGCGAGCGCTTCCGGGACCGCGGGCTGAGGCAGGTGAGCCAGCGGCCGCCAGAGGGAACAGGATTGGGGGGGGTCCCCAGATTCTCCCCTCCCTGTTCACACCGGGCTCTCGTCCTCTTACCTCCCTAACCCATGCTCCTTAAAAGAGGGCAGGACCGTGTCCCCAGCACCCACTACTCCTAGCTCGGAGAGCCCAGAAAAGTCCACATCCCTCCTAGCCAGGGCCCCTCTCCTCTTGCCCCAGGCGGTCACTTGGTGCCCAGAATCAGAGTCAGGCTCACCTCCTTTACCAAGCTGAGCATTCCTACAGGGCTGGGACTATCACTGGGACTAATTGCAGGAACCACCATCACCCTAACAGTAGCCACAGAGGAGATATTCAGAGACTGCTGTGCCAGGCTCCTGGGTAGCAGCAGTTCCTATAACCACTCTGGCAGGGAAGGAAGGAGGTGCTCTTATCACTTCCCTTTTGCAGCAGTAGAAAGACACAGATAGAAGAAGTAACTTGTCAAGGGCCACCCATGGCCTAGGTCTGGACCCCGTTCTTAATTACAGTTGACCCTCGAACAACATAGGGGTCAGGAGTGCCAACACTACCCTTCCCCCACAATCTAAAATCCACTTATAACTTTTGACTCCCTCCTTAACTATTACTAAGACCATTGTTGACCAGAAGCCTTACCAATAACATAAACTGTTGATGACCATGTATGTTATATTTATTGTATACTATACTATATTCTCACAATAAAGGAAGCTAGATTTTTAAAAATGTTATTAAGAGAGGTATCAGGGAGAGAACACATTCAATAGTATGTAAAAAATATGTGCAAAGTGTAGTGTGTAAAAAAGGTACCATTTTATAAAAAATCCATGTGTAAGTGGACCCGTGCATTTCACACCCGTGTTGTTCAAGGGTCAGTTATACTGAGCCACACCACCTACAGTCGCTCCAAGTGTGTATGTGTGTAATAAAATTATATCACACTTTAAGCTTAATTCCTTTTTCTGTGGATGTGTCAGAAGAATCTGAATGCTATCCTATACGGTGGCTATCTGAGCATAATAAGAAATACTTAAAAAGAAAAAAAGGAGAAGCAGCATCTGAATATGGGTCCCTGATGGATGAATGAACTAGACCTGGATTTGAACATTGGCTCCTGGTCTTATCAGTTCCATAACCTGAAGCCATCTCTTACCCTCAGCTACTTCCTTTGTAAGACTGGGATAACACAAATCCTGGAGTAGTTGACTTAGATACTAGGTGTTGCTGGCGTAAGATAAGCACCATCTGTGGTGACCTTATTCGTGTTTGCTGGTTTGGTTCGTTTTGTCTTTTTGGTGCTTTTGGCCCAAGGACCAGCCTGTAAAGCATTGGTGGTCCCTCTTTCATTAAGCATGGGAGAGCTCTGGAGTTTGCAATTTGGGCTGCTATTTACCTTTATTGTGACCTTGAGCAGATTCCTTCATTGCTCTCAGCCTC